GTTTAGTCAGCACCTTTGAACTCAAACATACATTGCTCCTTGCAGTTACATTCAATACGTAGAAGGTACGGAGAGGTTGTTTCCCTTTAGCGAAGAGTTGAGAACAGAACGACATAACCTTAGAGTTAGAGGCCACTCACTTAAGGCAGAGATGAGGAGGAAGCTCTTCTCTCTGAGAACAGTGAATCTGTGCAATTATTTATCAGAGTGAGCCGAGGCGGTATCATTCAGTATATTAAAGCTGTGATACGCAGGTTTTTAAATCAGTAAAGAAATCATGGATTATGGGGTAATGGTAGGAAAATGGAGTTGAGGATTATCAGATAAACTATGTTCTCGCTGAGCGACGGAGCAGACTCGACGGGCCGAATGGCCTGCTTAACCTTACGGAAATGTCTTTCCCTAACAGCAGAGAACGGCAGATCAAGCAGTAATTTTAAAACTGAGATTGATAAAAATTCTGTAAATTAAAGGTAATCGGGCACCCAAGGAAAGGGTAATTTCAATATGCGGAGTTAAATCGCAGATCAGCCATTAAACGACGGCAATTAGGGAAGGTGGGGACTAGCCTCCCTGTTCCCATCTTGTGCAGCAGTGTTCCAAACTCCATCCTCAGCAAATCCCTGTACATGATATAATCTGAAACTCCTTCCTCCACTATACCCCTTGATAAATGATCTATTTTCAACTTTTGAAATTTTGCAAACTCACACAACCGAACGAAAGTTGCAAACTCTGATTAAACTCACTTAGCACCACCTTCCCGGGACAACACTCGATCATAAACTGGCAACCTCCGAAACCCACAATGCACCACGCACAGGGCGGGGATAGATGGTTTTCTTGGGGCGGGGCAATGCCCGCCATTAGTCGATCACTTGGTGTTGAGCGTCTTCAAAAATTAAACTGCAAAGACGATAATAACATCTGAGCAGAGATTTTACAATCAAGGAAGTGGATGTGGAATCCAAGAACATTGACTTACTTACTAATAATTGTAACTACAAAAGAATGTTGCATTTCAAATGTCCACTATATATAATTACGTGCACCTTTTTATGTGACAAAACCTATTTTTATGTTACCAATTCCATTACTGAAATATAAACTGAGGTTAAATTTACTTTGTGAAATATTTCACTTTTATTTAAGTAAACAAACCATAATAAACAATATTGGAGTACTCAGCATAAACATTTACCAAGTCAATTTCGAAATGAAAGGCTGACATAAAAAGAGTGAACCATGGACAAGAATATATGTTTGGAAGATTTGAAATATGTACACAGGATTCCATTTAGTTTAAGTCACAAGCCATCAACTAAATTTAAATAATGGAACAGATTCAAATTTTCATAGAATCCCTAAAGTCTGCAAACAGGCCATTCAGCTTACACCAACCCTCCAAAGAACATTCCACGCAGATGCAACCCTGCTTGTCCGATGATCAATCCACCTGCACAGCCCTGGACACTATTTAGTCTGGCCAAACCACCTAACTCGCATATCTTTGGACTGGGGAAGGAAACCATTCAGACATGGAGGGAGTGTGCAAACTCCACACAGACAGTCACCTAAGGGTGAATCAAACCCAGGTCACTGGTGCTTTGAGGTAGCACTGCTAACCACTGAGCCACCGTGCCACCCCAAATCGTGGATGAGTAAAATCTGTAGAATGATTTTATTAAGCTTTGAGCAATATGGGGGTAAGGTAGGTGGGTGTGGGGTGGGATGTGACAGTTGAGCCCTCTTTATTCACACTGGAAGTAACAACAAAATTTACATGGTTCAGGCAATTGGACAAGGTAACTACCATCAGCAGGAAGAAACTCTGAAAAACGACTACTTAGAAGCCTCAATTTGCTGAGTGGCAGGTTTGGCATCAGTACCTTGCCTGCTGTTGGGAAAATACCAGTAGAGACAAGTAAGAGAAGGCATGGTGCCTCCCTTCCCATCTCCTACCGGCCAGCCCAATTCTATGGGAGAAGCAGCACATATCCAATGGAATTAGGCTTTAGTTTTTGATAGTTTGTTGGTGTAGGACTGCCCTCTTGGAAAGGTAAAAGCAGAAGCTTCTCCACCCTTCCACCCCCAACCCCAACCCCGCCCCCTCCCCCCAATCCAACCATAGCTGTTCCCCACTAACTTCACACTTATTGGCATGGTGAGCATCTAGGGTTCAAGTCCTAGCTATTCCAGAGGTAGGTCATTACATAGCTGAACAGGTTAATTAAAGATACCATCAACGGCCTTGTGATTTCCAAAACTATCGCGGAAATGAAAAAGTAGCTGATAAAAAGGCATTTAAAGTTCTGAGTCATCATTAAGCAGCGAGGAAGGACTCAGTCCCACTTGTTTTGCAGTTTCCTAACCGCTCTCCTTTATGTACTTAACATCATTTTTGTGTGTTGACTGGTTATACGGCCTATGCCATCTTTGAGGTACTGTATAATTTTCAGCAGATTGAAAGCTCTATCATACTGTGTAAATTCAGCCATAGTCTCTTCTATTGGGTTGTACAGTCCATGACTTTTTCATTATCTGAGAAATAGGTAATGTTCTTCAGTGGTTTTTGACTTACTGAAAAAAAATGATGAGCCTGATCTGAGAAATAGTTTCCATGTTAACTGGAAAAAATGTTTTTGTTAAAATCCTTGCTTAACTTCCTCATAACCCTTTAAACCATTACTAATTTAAAAATCTCTTTCTTCCTTAAATTTATTTGCTATCTATTCACAGGGTAGTGAATTCCACAGATTCAGAACTATTTTAGACAAATAACTCCTCCCCATCTCTATTTTATATCTGCCAACCCTCAGCCTAAACCATGATCTCTCATTCTAGATTGCTCCACAAAAGGGAAACATCCACTCTACATCTACTTGATCAAACTCTTTTAGCATCTTATTCACCTCAATTAGATCTCCTCATTCTTCTAGTGAGTATAGGCCTTGGCGATGTAGAGGTCAGTGCGCCATACTACAACTGCGCCTCCCTTGTCCGCGGGTTTTATGGTGAGGTTGGGATTGGAGCGGAGGGCTGCACGCTCTGGGGTAAGAGGTTGGAGTGGGTGGAGAGGTTGAGGCGATTGATGTCTCGACGGCAGTTAGAGATG